AAAATTGAACCAAGAAGACATAACCTAAACTGATCTATAACAAGTAACACACTTGAAACAGTCATTAAAAAAAAAAAACTCTGAACGTAGAAAAGTCCAGGCTAAATCCTACCAGATATTTAAAGAAGAGCTAACACTAATATTCCTCAAACTTTTCCCAAAAATATAAAGGGAAGAAATACCACCAAATTCATTCTATGACCCCAGCACTACCCTAACACTGAAACCAGGTAAAAACACTTTTAATTTAAATTTTTTTTCTTTTATTCATATGTGTATACAACGTTTGGGTCATTTCTCCCCCTTCGCCCCACCCCCTCCCTTACCTCCCCTACCCTCTTTCTCTTCCCCGCACCCCCTCGCTACCAGGCAGAAACTATTTTGCCCTTATCTCTAATTTTGTTGAAGAGAGAGTATAAGCAATAATAAGGACCGAGGGGTTTTTCTAGTTGAGATAAGGATAGCTATACAGGGAGTTAACTCGAATTGCTTTCCTGTACATGTGTGTTACCTTCTAAATTAATTCTTCTCAAACTAACCTTTTCTCTAGTTCCTGGTCCCCTTCTCCTATTGACCTCTGTCACTTTAAAGTATCTGCATTAGTTTCTCTGCATTGAGGGCAACAAATGCTATCTAGTTTTTTGGGTGTCTTACTTATCCTCATACCTCCCTTGTGTGCTCTCGCTTTATCATGTGATCAAAGTTCAATCCCCTTGTCGTGCTTACCCTTGATCTAATGTCCGCATATGAGGGAGAACATACGATTTTTGGTCTTCTGAGCTTGGCTAACCTCGCTCAGAGTGATGTTCTTCAGTTCCATCCATTTACTTGCAAATAATAAGATTTCATTCTTCTTCATGGCCGCATAAAATTCCACTGTGTATAAATACCACATTTTCTTAATCCATTTGTCAGTAGAGGGGCATGTTGACTGTTTCCATAACTTGGCTATTGTGAATAGTGCTGCAATAAACACGGGTGTGCAGGTGCCTCTGGAGTAACCTGTGTCACATTCTTTTGGGTGTATCCCTAAGAGTGGTATTGCTGGATCAAATGGTAGATCTACGTTTAGATTTTTAAGAAGCCTCCAAATTTTTTTCCAGAGTGGTTATACTAGTTTGCATTCCCACCAGCAGTGTAAAAAAAAAGGTTATAGGCTAATTTCCCTGATGCACAGAGATGCAAAATTGTCAATAAAATGCTTGCTAACTGAATCCAATAACATATTTAAAAGATCATACACCATGATCAAGTAGGTTTCATTTCAGGAATGCAAGGAAAGTCCAACATATACAAATCAATAAACATAATACAACACATAAATCAAGGGCAAAAATCATATCATCATTTCAATAGATGCAGAGAAAGCCTTTGACAAAATTCAACATCTCTTCATGATAAAAGTTCTGAAGAAATTAAGAATAGGAGGAAAATTATAAAGGCTTTATATGACAAACCTATAGCCAACATTACACTAAAAAGGGAAAAATTGAAACCATTTCCTCTAAAATCAGGAACAATAGTGTCTACTGTCCCCATTCTTATTCAATATAGTTTTAGAAATCCTAGCCAAAGCAATCCACTTTGTACGGGGGGAGAGACTGGGATCTACTTTCAGTCTTGTACATGTGGACATCCAGTTTTCCCAGCACCAATTGTTGAAGGCACTGTCTTTTCACCAATGTATGTTTTGGGCTCCTTTGTCAAAAATCAAACAGCTGTAGTTGCATGGATTTGTGTCTTAATGTAAGATCTGAAGCTATAAGAATAGGAAAGTCACTGGAATATATATGTACATAGGCAAAACCTGAGCAGAAATTCAATAACTCAGCAATTAAGACAAAGGATGGACAAACAGGACTGCATCAAACTACAAAGCTTCTGCACAGCAAAGGAAACAGTCACAAGACTGAAGAGAGCCTACAGAGGGGAGAAAATCTTTGCCAGCTGTACATCTAACATGGATTAATAACCAAAATATAGATCAAAAAAACTAACCTCCCAAAGAATCAGAAACCCAGTGAATAAATGGGCAAATGTGAACTGAACAGACATTTCTCAAAGGAAGCACAAATAGTAAAAAATATATGAAGAAATGCTCTACATCTCTGGCATAAATGAAACGCAAATCAAAATGATATTGAAATTTCACCGCACTCTAGTCAGAATGGCTATTATCAAGAACAGAAACAAAAACAAGTGTTGGCCAGGACGTAGGGGAAAAGGAACCCTCACACACTATTGAAGGGAATGTAAATTAGTGCAACCACTATGGAAACAGTATGGAATTTCCTCAAAAAACTAAAAATAGGACTGGAGTTGTGACTCAAGCAGTGGAGCACATGCTTTGCAAGCTGAAGTCCTGAGTTCAAACTTCAATCCCACAAAAAACTAAAAAGACTTACCAAAGGACCAGCGATACCATTCCTGGGCATATATTAGAAGGAATGTAAGTCAGGATACAATAGAGACACTTATGCTCATGTTTATTGCAACATTGTTCACAACAGCCAAGCTTTAGAACAGACCAGATGCCCTACGACTGATGACTAGATTAAGAAAGTATGGTAGCACATATGAATAATAAAAGAAAAATGAAAAAAAAGTAACAACAAAAATATTAACACTATGCCCCACAAATGTATACAATTATGATTTGCAAATCAGAAACATTACTAATAAAAACTTTTCACTATAAAATATTTATAAAATTATGGTTTCAAGTACAAGTATGTTTGTAGACAAAAAATATGCACAGAGATTTCGAGAATGCCTGAAAAGGCAGTGCTGCCCTAATAGAGAACCTCCATACCACTGAACACTGACTTTCTATTGTCTTCCAGGATCTCCTTGTCAGAGCTGTGTCTCTTGCTTTCATTCTTGGTTAAGCATATAAAGACCATTCCTTGCCACTATAAATAAACTGCAATATATGTATAACCTCAAAAAAAAAAAAAAAAAAAGAAAGTATGGTATAGATACACAATGGAATATTATTCAGCCATAAAGAAGAACGAAATTATGTTGTTTGCAGGTAAATGGATGGAACTTCATGTTAAGCAAAGTAAGCCAGATTCAGAAGGACAAAGGTTGTATGTTTTCCCTTATATGTGGAAAGATATAAGACCTAAAAGATAAATGTATACATAAGTATATATATGATCTTACATACATACATATATATATGTGTGTGTGTGTATGTGTGTGTAGAGAGAGAGAACATAATTATAATAGTGGGACTGTCTGAGGGATTGGGAGAGGCAGAAAATGAAGAGAATGATGGAAAATAAATAATATTGAAATGCAATGCATCTATATTTTCATCTATATATGAAGATGACATAACGGAACACACTGAAAGCTGCTGAATAAGTTGGGGTAGGTGGGACAGGGAAAGTAATAGAGGGGCTTACCTGATGAAAGTACAGTATGAGCATGTGTGAACTAACATGGCGAAACCCTTCAAACAATTAAAATACACTTAACAAATGGAAGGACAGGAAGGTAAAAACAGGTCCTTTCAGGGGTAGACACTAGTGGAAGGGGAGAGTAAACAGAGGGTGAAGGATGGCAAATATGGTTGGTGTGCTTTGTATACATGTATAAAAATAGAACAATGAAAGCTGCTGAGAGTTAGTAGAGTGGCTCAAGTGGTAGAGCACATGCCTAGCGCGTGTGAAGCCCTGAGTTCAAACCCCAGTACCACCACAAAAAAATATACCCACAAAAAAAAAAAAAGAAATGTGTTGAAATTGTTTTGAGAAGGGGAGAAAGGGGGAGAGGAAGAATGATGGAGGGGCTGACTCTAATTAAAGTACATTGTAAGCACATATGTAAATGCCACAATGAAACCTCCCCATACAATTAATACATGCTAATAAAATGTTTTTTAAAAAGAGTACTGTTTACATGTATGAAAATGTCATCATGAAACCCATTAAAATGTTTTTGTAAAAATAATTTGTTACAATACCACCAATATATATATGCAAATAGGTGGTCATATACCCGGGAATGACTAGAGCTGGATTCACTTTCTCTATTCCTTATTTTCCTGATTTCACAGGATCCCTCCTTAGACTTCTAAAACGCTCCCTGAGATCTTTTAAAGCCAATGTGTCTCACCCTAGCTGTCCTTTGCTCTTCAAAAGGAAGCTTTTGAGAAAACAGCCTCCAGTATGAAAAGAATTCTAAAATGTCCTAAATTAAATGACAGACCAAGAATGGAGGCAAGAAAGAGAAACCAAGTTCATAGTAACTGACAGCTTCAAGCTAAATAAACAAAGAAAAATGAGTTTTTAAAAAAATAGCTCCACATGTCTTTCCTACGTGTATGTTGAAGATTTGTCATCAAAAACAATCACATTGGACTTTTGGAACTAATCAGGCAAGGAGCAGCAAAAACTTGTCTTCATGGACAAAGCTCCCATCCCAGGACATTCACCATTTTCCCCGTGTCTTGCCACCCTTGTCCGCAGCCAGGGTAGGCTCGGCGTAAATGATTTATGCTTGTTCTGTCCAAAATTCCTTTATTAACCCCCCCACAGCTGGCTCCTAGGTCCAGGGGACATTTTTCCAACTGTTATCTGGCCATGCTGCTGGTGGTAGCTTAGGGAATTTATCCCAGGACAGCTCCTTTTATTTTGGCTAACATTAAAAACAGCTCAATAAATCCTTTATTTCAGAGATAGCCTAGCCTCAAAAGTTTGAGGGAAATGCCCAAGCTGAGAGCCTGTGGTGCGATGTGGCCCCATCTCCTGGCCACTATTCTTTCTAGCCTTGGAGAGAAAGACGTTCTATCTCCACAGAGTTTCAGTTTCAGTTCTTTGAAAAGCTCAGTTTCAAATGGGAAAAAAAAAAGAAAGAAAGGAAAGCTCAGTTTCGGTTTCCAATCCGGCGAGATAATTGGCTGCTGGAGCTGAACAGAGCCCAGGAGGGAGGAGGGAGGAGGGAGGAGGGAGGAGGGAGGAGGGCTGTGCCGCCAGGAGAAGTCACCCAGTCCTGTGGTCCCCTCGAGCAGAGGAGGATAAATCCCACTCTGTCGCCTTTGCCAGCATTCAGCTGCCGGAGGGGACCCTTTACAGGGCTGGACAGAAACACGGAGGATTTATTACAAAAAGCAGCCTGGTTCTGCAGAGATGGAGCCTTTCCAAGACCTGTATGAGACCCCTGGGGACAGGCTGGACGCCTTCCTAGAGCACAGCCTTCAGCCCCAGGGGGACTGGAAGGAAGAAGGACAGGATGTCTGGCGCAGAATGGAACGGTTCTTTCGAGAACAGTGCTTCCGTGATGAGCTGGTTCTGGACCAAGAAATCAGTGTATTGAAAGTGGTAAAGGTGAGCATTCCAAACACTGGGGCTCAAATTCCAGCTCTGCCCCATGAGACTGTGGGACCTGGGGTGGGGGGAGTGGGGGGAGTGGGGGGGAGCCGTGTCACTTCACCTGTCTGTGCCTAGTCTCCTCTTCTGGGTTCCCCCACTCTGGGCTTCTTATGCACAATAAATGGAATAAGACATGGAAATGTTTTCAGGTAGTAAATTACTCTACAATGCTGGAGGAGGTGGTGGTGGTGGTGATGGTGGTGATTCAGCTGTCAGGTGGAATATGAATATCAAATCTCTATAAAATGTGTCCTTAAGAAACCCCACCTTACCTCCAAAGTCATAAAAGAAATCTCTCTTTCCTCTAAAATAGTACTGAATGATGATGTCAGAAACTACCCATCCGTAAGGTAAGATCCAGGGTACTTGATAAGTTCAGTGGAATTTTAGGGACCATGTAATTCAGCATCTAATTATAAGCATATGGTTTCTTCTGGAAAAGTACTAACTTCTAATACAACTTTCAACATATCACCCTCAATAAAAATTGTTTAAACTAATACCAGAAATTCGGTCCCCCGGACTCGATGCCAATTCACAAATAATGAGTAGGGTCTTGTAGAAAAGGAAGTAAAGGTTAATTAATTTTGCCAAGTGAAATGAGAACTGTAATAAGCTTCTGTCTCAAAAGCTGCAGTCCTACTCCCAGACTGGGAGGATGGGTTTTTAAGGGAGAGCCTGGGAGTTTGGATGTATGTGCTGAGAAGTAGGACTTTGGGCCAGATAGTGGCCTTGGGTCAGTTTATTTCATCCCTGCAGCTGTGTGTCTTGCCATCCTACACATTCCTCCCCTCCTGTGGTCAGTGAGATAAGAAGAGGAGCTTGATGACTTTGTCTGGAGCTAAAAAGATGTTTTTTGAGTTTCCTCACATAGGAGAATGAGGGTGGAGAAAAGACAAAGAGAAACAAAAAGAAAAAAATGTTGGTAAAACTTTTGTTGAAAAAATGTGCATAAGTGAAAACAGGCTGGCTAGTTAAAGTGAGTTAGCTATTGGGGTAAAGCCACAGTTGTGAGCATAGTTTGGTGACTGCTCCCATTACAGGACCATAAATCTAGATTTTGTTCATTTTGCTAAAATGCAAGACATCTCACATTAACCTAAGTCAGTCAGGTTTTATCCTAGGAATGGTAATAGCCACAGAGAGGGAGACAAAGAGGAAGGACATGCAACTTTGGAGAATCTCTAAATAAAGAGTTGAAACCAAAGATTAAGGAGAGTTATCTGCAAAGTATGAGCTTCAAAGCAGAAAATTTAGAAATTCAATCTTCTGTAGTTGTTAAAAAGATACAACTTTGCACTTCTGGGTACTGACTCCTCCACACTTCTGATCTTGTTGAGGGCTCCTCTGCTCCAGAGCTATGTCAGCATCTTTGATTCCAAGATCTGAACCAAAAAAAAAAAAAGAAAAAAGAAAAATTCCCACCAGAACCAGAAGTGAGGTGCATGTTCCCTTAAGGACAGGTCTGAAGGTATTCAAGTATTTTAACATATGTTCTAAATTACGGTCTTCTATGGGCAGGTACAGTGGTGCACAGCTGTAATCCCAGAACTCAGGAGGCTGAGGCAGAAAATTGGGAGCTCAAGACTGGCCTGGGCTACACAACGAGATCTGTCTCATAAAACCAAAAATAAAATTAAAATAAAAGAGAGAAAAATGTCTGTAAAAAAAATAAATATATATAGAAACAAATAAATTAATTAAGCTCTTTTACAGACAGATTCAAATATGCTGTCTCAATGGAAGATATCCATTTATGTTACTCCAGATACCCACATCTTTAACTTCCACCTTTATAGGAATATGCCTCAAGCAAAGATTATTTACTTGTGTAAGAAAAAAACTACTTATTTTACCTTTCCTCTTGCTCTCTCAACAATTGCTATTTCCAGAAGTTAAAACACTCCTAAAATAACTACTGCCATTTTGAGCATTTTAGCATAAAAACAAAAAGAAGCTAAACACCTTACTTGAATAAGCATTGATGAACAACCAATGACAATGCAGACATAGTTTTTCTTTTTGGTGGTACTAGGATTTGAATTCAGGGCCTCACATTTGCTAGGAGGTGCTCTACCACTCTACTTGCTCTTTTTGTACTGGGTATTTTTGAGATAAGTTTTCACTTTTTGCCTGGGCTGGCCTTGAACTGCAATCCTCCTGACCTCTGTCTGCCAAGTACCTAGGATTATAGATGTGAGCCACCAGCACCAAGCTCAGACATATCTTTATTACATTTTGTTTCTGGGTTAAGAGAAGGGGGTCACAATGCATATTGCCTGTAATTCAACATTTGTTTCCTTTGTGCTTTCGTTAACCTTGTTAAGTGTTAAATTTTCTTAGTCACATCTACTTTTCCTGGTTTTCTCCACTGATACTGGAGTGAGAGTGTATATTTTTCTGGTCAAATGTTCTGATTCTGTCTGATTTCCTACCACAAGTGAACTTGGGGGTCATCTGGGACTGGTAGTAACTTTTCCCAGGACACTCCTCGTAGTACCCATATTTTCTTTTTCTTTTTCTATTATTCCATTTCCTTTGATCAAGAAACCAAATGTCTGCATTAAGGTTACACAGGAATGTAAATGGCTTCATTACCTTTTAATTATCCAAGTGGTACATTTAGCCACAAAAAATATGGGAAAATACAAAAACTCACAAAATGAATGACCTTACTTCTCACATTTTAATGCACTATGACCACATTTTAAATGTTTACGAATAGCTAGAAAAGTATTTTCTTTTATATGTACAGTCCAAAGAAAAACTTTAGACAAGTTTAACAGAATTTACCCAAGTAAAGAAATATTCATGAACCAGGAATCACTGTGGACCAGAAGTTGAAAAAGTTTTGTCCAGCAGTGTAAGTGATAAGCTAAAAAGACTGCAAAAGTAGGCCAGACACAGAAGCAAAGTAAAGAAATCACCTGATTGGCTACAGCTAAGCACCTGCCTTATATGGGCATAGTGAGATAATGTATTTGCCTTATTTGAGCATGGTCTGGTCACTTGACTGCTTGTGATTGGCTGAAATCTGGGTATACATTTTATATATATATATATATATATAATTTTTTCCTGAGAGATTATAAACTTCAGGTACAGCTAAAAATAAACACCTTACAGACTGTCTCTCTTACAAATTACAACTAAAATTCTGGATAAGACATCAAAAAGTCAGTGCTTGAGGACTCTGAAAAGTAAACAATGGCAGAAAGATTGAGGACTGAAGTCAAAACTTGAGTAACCCGAAATGAGGGTGATTATACTGGAATAAACCATTAAAACATATGGTCTGGGTAGATATCAAAAATGTCGTGCTAAATGAAAGAGAAAAAGCCAGTTTCCAAAGGTCACATACCTTTTGGTATGATTCCATTACAGTTGGCCTGCTATATCTGATAAGGATTAGTTCCAGAAACACATCAGTCTCCTGCCCCACCATAGATACCAAAATCCAAAGATGCTCAATTCTTGTCAATAAAGTGATATAGTATTTGCATATAATCTATGAATCTCCTTTTGTTTAAGTCATCTCTAGACAACTTGTGGAACCTAAAACAATGAAAATGCTATATAAATACTTGCTTCAAGGGATTGCTTAGGGAATAATGACAACAAAAAAGTCTGAACGAATTTTTTTAATATTTTTGATTAGAGGTTGGTCAAATCTGCATATGGAACTTGAAGATGCAAAGGGTTGACTGTATTCAGAAAAATAAATTTAAAACTAATAGTACAATAATAAAAATACTAACAAAATGATACCATATAGTAAATATTTGCACAGCATTCACCTTGTGTTAGGGATTATAAGTAAACTAGAGATTTTTTTATTCCTTTATTGTTATGAAGGGTAAGGGTACATTGTGGCATTTACATAGGTTCTTACAATGTATCAGATATATCATACATGAATTCCTGTTGGAATACTTTCAACAGGTGTCATTTTTGCATTTACATACATGTGTACACATTTTATTGCATTGTATTCACCCTCTTTATCCCTTTTCCCAACCCCTTCCCCCTCCCACTGGTACCAGCCCTTCTACCCCCCTACCCCCCCCCCCCCCACCCCCCCCCTGCAAGACTTGTTTTCCTTCTTGTTCTCCAATTTCGTAACAGAAAAGATAAAACAAAAAACATGACATTTTAGCTTGAGCTAAAGGTAGCTACACAGGGAGTTTCCTTGTGATATTTCCATGTATGTATGTATTATCACCCAACTGGTTTATCTCCTCTAATTTTCTTCATTCTATGTTAGTCCCCTTCTTATGGCAGTTTCAGTCAGTCATTCTTATATAGTGAGTATATCAACCCTGTTCGGGTTCTTAGTTTCCCTACCTTTCTCATGCACAACTTCCCCTTAGTGTGGCCAGTGTTGCATCATATTGCTGCATTTGTATTAGGTCTATGTTCCACACATGACAGAGAACATGTGGCTTTTGGCCTTCTGAGCCTGGCTAACTTCACATAAGATGATGTTCTCCAGTTCCATCCATTTACCTGTGAATGACAAAATTTCATTCTTTGTGGCTGAGTAAGACTCCATTGTGTATAAATACCACATTTTCTTAATCCATTCATTAGTAGTGGGGCATCTTGGCTGTTTCCATAGCTTAACTATTGTGAGTAGTGCTGCAATAAACATGGGTGTGCAACAACAGGTGTTGGCGAGGATGCAGGGAAAAAGGAACCCTCTTACACTGTTGGTGGGAATGTAAACTAGTACAACCACTCTGGAAAAAATTTGGAGGCTACTTAAAAAGCTAAACATTGATCTACCATTTGATCCAGCAATACCACTCTTGGGAATATACCCAAAAGACTGTGACACAGGTTACTCAAGAGGCACCTGCACACCCATGTTTATTGCGGCACTATTCACAATAGCCAAGTTATGGAAACAGCCAAGATGCCCCACTACTGACGAATGGATCAAGAAAATGTGGTATCTATACACAATGGAATTTTATACAGCCATGAAGAAGAACAAAATGTTATCATTCGCTGGTAAATGGATGGAATTGGAGAACATCATTCTGAGTGAGGTTAGCCTGGCCCAAAAGACCAAAAATCGTATGTTCTCCTTCATATGCAGACATTAGATCAAGGGCAAACACAACAAGGGGAGTGAACTTTGATCACAAGATAAAAGCGAGAGCACACAAGGGAGATACGAGGATAGGTAAGACACCTAAAAAATTAGCTAGCATTTGTTGCCCCCAACGCAGAGAAACTAAAGCAGATACCTTAAAAGCAACTGAGGCCAATAGGAGAAGGGGACCAGGAACTAGAGAAAAGATGAGATCAAAAAGAATTAACTTAGAAGGTAACACACACGCGCAGGAAATTAATATGAGTCAACTCCCTGTATAGCTATCCTTATCTCAACCAGCAAAAATACTTGTTCCTTCCTATTATTGCTTATACTCTCTCTTCAACAAAAGTAGAGAAAAGGGCAAAATAGTTTCTGCCCGGTATGGAGGGGGTGGGGGGGAGAGGGAAGGGGCGGAGTGGGTGGTAAGGGAGGGGGTGGGGGCAGGGGGGAGAAATAACCCAAGCCTTGTATGCACATATGAATAATAAAAAAATAAAAAAATAAAAATAAACATGGGTGTGCAGGTGAATTTGTTGTAAACCGACTCACAATCCTTCCTTATATCCCTGAGGATCATAGGGCAGATCTATTTTTAGTTTTTTAAGAAGACTCCATGCTGTTTGCCACAGCGGTAGTACTAGCTTACATTCCCACCAGCAGTGTACCAGGGTTGCTTTTTCCCCCGCAGCCTCGCCAACATTTCAGGTCTTATATTAAGGTCTTTGATCCATTTTGAGTTGATACTAGTACAGGGTAATATACATGGATCTAGTTTCAGTTTTCTGCAGGCAGAACCACTTTTCCCAGCAGTTTTTGTTGAAGAGGCTGTCTTTTCTCCATCGTATATTTTTGGTGCCTTTGTCAAAAATAAGGTGGGCATAGCTGTGTGGATTCATATCCCAGTCCTCTTTTCTGTTCCACTGGTCTTCATATCTGTTTTTGTACCAATACCATGCTGTTTTTACTGCTATTGCTTTGTAATATAGTTTGAAGTCGGGTATTGTGATGCCTCCAGCTTTGCTCTTTTTGCTCAGTATTGCCTTGGCTATTCAAGGTCTTTTGTGTTTCCAAATGAACTTTAGGGGTAGATTTTTCAATCTCTGTGATGAATGTCATTGGGATTTTAATGGGAATTGCATTAAGCATGTAGATTGCTTTTGGTAGTATAGCCATTTTTACTATGTTGATTCTGCCAATCCATCTTCTGTGGTCTTCTTCAATTTCTTTCTTCAATGGTTTGTAGTTTTCTTTGTAGAGGTCATTCACATCTTTTGTTAAGTTTGTTCCTAGGTATTTGATTTTTTTTTCCTGAGGCTATTGTAAATGGAGTTGTTTTTCCTATATCCTTTCCCAGTCTATTCATTGTTGATTTGTAAGTTGATTTTGTATCCTGCTACTTTGCTGAAGCTGTTTATGGTATAACTAGAGATTATTTAATGGGAGAAGGGATTAAGATCCTGGGGAGGAATGGAGTTTTACATTTCACTTCGATTCTTTGAGTTGTTTACCAAGTATTTAATTTTCCTAAACCAATGAAAAGATGTAGTATAGATGGACTATCCCTTACCCAAAACACTTGGAAACAGAAGGGAAATTTTATTTTTTTCTTAGATTTTAGAATATTTTCATATAATAAGATATGTTGGAGATGAAGTCTAAACATGAAGTTCATTTATGTTTCACATGTACCGTATATATATAGTCTGAAGATAGTTTTATACAATGCTTTTATTAGCTCATCTGTGTTTTTGACTGCAACCATCACATAAGGTCAGGTGTGGAATTTTCTACTTGTAGTGTCATTTTAACACTCACCAAGTTTTGGGCTTTGAATTTTGGATTTGGGGTGCTTAACCTGTAATACCCATGGCAAAAGTCATGGAGTCCAAGGGCTCCTTTGTGGGGGCTATATAAAGAGCCTATCATGAGTGCTTCTGCTTCACACTTAACCTCAACCTATCAAATCTCAGAAGAAGTAAAGCTAGTATTGTCATCCTCCACAGGGAGGGTCCTCAGGAAAGGGGACAACACTGAACCACTGCTCTGACCAAGATATGGTTTTGTTCCTGAGCTGCTTCTCCAGTTTCGAAGATCAGGCACAGCACCGAGAAGCCATCATAAACTTCATCGAGGAGAAACTGGATCATTGCAGAAGAAGCCTGGCCTACAACATCACTGTGGTCCAACACAGAGAGGGGAAAAGGGTCCCTCGCTCCCTGACCTTACAGGTCCAGCCCAAGAAGAACAGTGATACCATTCGGGTGGACGTGCTCCTGGCTTTCGATGCTCTGGGTAAATAAAGATTCTGATGGGTCAGGTCCAGAGAAACAAGTTGAGGGCTGTTCACCAACCTGACCTTGGGAGAGGTTTCGGAAAGTGGAAATCGATGGACTTTTCTCTTTTAGGGGGAGGTGAAGACTGAAGTCCTTCCATAAATGCATGGGTTCCCTGTGTCCCAATGTTGCATGGGGAAAGAGGGTTTCTCCTAAATAATGAATTCCCACCCAATGCAAGGTGGAAACTCCTCTCCAGCCCTCCAGAAAATACCAGGTAAAGCAAGTACTTTAAAGTCTTTGGAGTTCAACAGGACTAGATTGAAATCATCTTTAAAACAGGACTCCGAATAGCTTCACATTTTGGCTCCAAAACTTAATAGTTTCATGACCTTGGGCAAACTATTTAACACCTCCAAGGCTGAGTACACCAACTTGTTACATGGGATAATATGTAATTTAAGTGGATTGTAAGAAACTGACAATATTTGACCATGTTGGACTCCCAAAATGGTAATTTCCTCTGGTTCCACTTAAATTCATCTACTGCATGGAGCCGTTCCAAATATTCTATGAGCTTAGCCCTGTGCCTGACACATGGTAAGTCTTCAGTCAATGTGAACTATTTAAAATCTATGTGACTTTTGGGTGTGCTATCAAACCCGTTAGGCCTTCACTTATTTAATTTAAAGGGAGAAAAATGAGCCTAGAATGGTGGTGCATACCTGTAACTCCACCACTCAAGAAGTGAAGGCAAGAGGATTGTGAGTCTGAGGCCAACCAGGGCTACATAGAGAGACCCATACAAATCTTAAATAAATAAATAAATAGAGAAAAGGAATCCCACAGATAGCATTGCATGAAACTGGTATACTCAGTAAACTTCAGATCTTTCCATCTTCTTCATTTTCCTGACAAAGTACTTTCCTCTTCTCAGAATCCTGTTGCCTGGACTCTAAGCCAGCAGCAGAAATCTATGAAAACTTAATAACCACTGGAGGCCACCCTGGGGAGTTCTCATCGAGCTTCACAGAGTTACAGAGACACTTTGTGAAAAGCCGTCCTGTTAAACTAAAGAACCTCCTGCGGCTGGTGAAATTCTGGTACCTGAAGGTGAGGGCTGGGTGCTGGGCTGGGAGGTGCAGGAGCAAGGCGGAGGGAAAGGCAGGAGCAGGCCAGCAATTTTTAAAGAGAAAGAAATGGAAACAACCTCACTGTCTAAGGATAAGAGGCAAGTAAGACAGTGTAGGTGAGATCGTTTCATTGGAAACTATTTGTGACCTACAGAGCCCTGGACCATGTTAGAGGTAGCCATTATTGTTGGTAATGGTAATTTGTCATATTTATACTCTTTTACGTTCTGAAGCATCACTTCCTGTTACAGAGTCCTGGCTCAAATGACACATTCCTCAAGAGCAATTAAATGGTTCCTGACGAGCACAATCATGATTTTCAAAAGACCTCTGGCATTTTAAATAATAACAACAATATAAGCAATAACAATAATAATAATAAAGCTACCATCTGTTGAATGTTATGTTCCAAAAATCTATGCTACAGATGGAGGAAGTGAACTCAACTATGATATATTGTAAGAACTTTTGTAAATGTCATAATGTACCCCCAGTACAACAATAATTTTTAAAAAAAGAAATTAAACATAAAAAAATATTTTAAATCTGTGCCACAGATACTACATGTTTTTCCCTTTCAGTCTTTCTAGTGGCTCAATGATGTATGTTTTATTCCTTATACTCATTTTGCAGATGAGAAAACAGATTCAAAAGCATGTAATTCTAGAACTTGTGTTCTTAAGCAATCACATGAAATATTTTTCCAAAACAATAATGATTTTCCTGATTATCTGAGTATGGCAATAGACCCATTAGAAAAAAATCCAAACGATGCAAAAAAAGCATTAGAAAGTAAAATTCACATGAAATCGACAAAATAAATCAAAGACATCACTAGTGAATTCTCTTTCATGTCTCGTTTTTTGTTTATATTCATGTATTTTCACTCAGAACTTAGCTAAGGAATGTCATTGTGTTGTTTTTCCAGTTCACCCTTTAAACAAATATATTTGCTACTGAGCTCTGGACTTGAATTTTGTGAAGTTATCTATTCATGTAATTTGTACAATTTCCACTGACTTGTTTGTCTTTTTTCAATCTATGATATCTTTATTTACATTCCAAATATTTACCATTATTTCTTATATGGGTTGTAATATTTTTGCCAATATGTCATTCATCTATGACATTAATTATACTTTGTCTTTGACAGCAGTGATTTCTAACTCTTACATAGATAAACATGTCTGAATTTCTTGATAGACTTTGGGTTTCCTATCTGAGCTTCTTCAGATACATAGATGGATAGAAAGATAGATAGATGGATAACAGATATGTATATATGTGTGTATATGTATGTATATATAAAAATTGAGTATATATGAGTAATTCACTTAATTTTTCTTCTAATACACTTAATACACACTTTAACTCCATTTGTAATTTCTTTTGAGATATGGTATGACATTAGGGTCATCTGTTCTTTTTTGGCAGTACTGGAGTTTAAACTCAGTACTCAGTGCCTTGCTAGGCAGGCACTCTACTGCTTGAGCCATGCCTCCAGCCCTTTTGCTCTAGTTGTTTTTGAGATAGGGTATTGCTCTTTTCCCAGACCAGCCTGGACCACGACCTTCCTCTTGTACACTTGCCACACAGGCACATGCCACCATGCCCAACTTTTTCTGATGAGGTGGGAGTCCCATGAACTTTTGCCAGGGTTGGCCTGGAACCATGATCCTTCTAATCTCAGCCTCCCAAGTGTCTAAGATTACAGATGTGAACGACTGGTGCCCAGCTTGAGATCATCTTTATTTACCTTATTTTCTTCTAAATAGCTAAGAAGTTTGTGCATCATTTGTTGAATTATGCATCCTTTTCCTGCTGAACTATCATCACCTTTGTTAAATATTAAATTATCGTATATACTAGAACTAATTCTGAACTAGCTGTTCCAATATACTTGACTATTGTTTATATCTATGCCAAAAGCATACTGTTTTTGTTACAACTGCTTGGATATTAACGTATCTAAGACAAATATCAAGGAAATTTTCTTTTTCATAATTTTCTTGGCTTTTAGTAGTTATTTATGCTTCTATATGAGTCTTAAGGTAATTTTATCCTATTAAAAACATCACTAGAATTCTAATTAAAATTGCAATGAATCATAAAGTTAATTTAGGAGGAAATGAACATTTCATAATACTCCTTCCCTTTCATCTTCCAATTTTGTTCCATGCCATCCGTGTGTCTTAGTTGTCCCACTTATTTCTTCTATGTGCTATATTATATTGTCTCCTCCATTACAACTGAATAGCATGTACTGATAAAGTCCAAAACTCCATAAGAGACCCCAGCTTCCTCTTTTTTTTTTTTTTTTTGAGATCTTGATGGCCCCAGGACATAATTCCATCTAGTCTCTATTATTTTGTGGATTGTGCTGTATGATGCAATAGAGTGATCTGAAAATTCTCAATCAATCATCTTATATATCCTCTCCCTACTCCCTGCCCCTACTTTCTCTAGTATGTGAAATGTAAATATGGAAGAGCAGCATTGCCCCCAAAATATGCACTGGAGCTACTGACCATCTATGCCTGGGAAATGGGTACGGACAAAAGTGATAACTTCAACATGGATGAAGGTCTTGTAGCTGTGATGAAACTTCTCAGAGATTATGAAGACATCTGCATATACTGGACCAAGTACTATGATTTCCAAAATAAGATTGTCAGAGACTTTATCAAACAACAGTTGAAGAGTTCCAGGTGAGTATGTCAGTTGTGTTGCCTTCAGCTTCAAGGAATAGAAACCCTACTGAAGCAGCTTAAAACTTAAAAGGAACTTACTGGTTTTTACAACTGAAAAGTTCAAAAGGAGAAGAAACTTCACACAAGTCATGATCCAAATGTCCTCTGTGTCATCCAGGTCCTTTTCTGTGAAATGCTTCACTCCATCTTTCCCAGGGTATCACCATTATAGTCTGATTTATTCCTTCATAGCTATGGCGGTTCTGAGATTCTCATGTGGACACATACTTTTAGTACAAGAAACAACATTCCTAGACAAATCTCAGATTCACTCTGACTGGGCTAATTTAGTTTATGTCACCAATCTGGACCCAAGAGCTTCAGATTGCCAGAGTCCTTCCTACACAAAGGCATGCACAATCCCACACACCTGAGTGCCAGAGGCCACAGTCCTAAGTTAACAGAAATCTGCCTCTCTTCTCTCTTCCAGGCCTATAATCCTAGACCCAGCTGACCCCACCAACAATCTGGGAAAGAGAAAAGGATGGAACCTAATGGCCAAAGAGGCTGTTCACTGCCTACGGCAAGTCTGTTGCTTGACTGAAGACCCTAGCCAGAGCTGGCGTGTACAGGTATGACTTTCCATACCATAATCAGGACTCAGTTCTGATCTCATATGAATCTCCCCCAATTCTTATAGAGCACCCATAGGTCCCTAAGATAGGCAATGCCTCTTACACAGACATCCCAGCGAACCAGGTGAGCAACTCTCTTCTGCTATAAATGGCTGGGCCTCAGTTGTTTCACCTATAAAAATGTCAAGCCATCTTCCTTACTGTGTAGCCAATTCAGAGATATAATCAAAGAATGAATTACATATACCTGTCCTGTGGGGTATGGATTACTTTTTTGTGGGTTAACAAAAGGTGCATCTTCTTGCTTTTAAACAAAAGATTTAATCATGTATCCAAAAATATAAGTGAGACCCACAGAGGTCCACTGCAGATACCAACCCAGCTACACAGCCTCCATATGCATGGCTTTTTCCACATGAACACAGCTGTCCTGAGTCTGAACATTAAATAGGAACCCAGTGTTCAGAGACCAGCACTGTGCCTAGGAGCTACCTGAAAGAGCTAATTTCCCCAATCTGCTACTCCTAGAGAAATCTTGTCAGCTCTCCCACTTTTCATATCCTGAATGGAAATTCTGAGTCTGGCATCAAAGGCAACCTCATGACAAGTGAAGCAAGACAGATAAATAGGGCATCACTAGGCTTTATCATCTTTCCAGCCAATGTACCATTGGCAGAGAGAGTTCAGAGCCCAGGCGGTTCCTGGGAGGTCAGCAAAAAAACAAAGCAAGGTATTAAAATGGATATAAAATTAAAATAAGTTTCCCTCCCATCTCAACCCCCAATCTCCCAGAAATACTATCTCCTAGATAGCCACGTATCAACTACTTGCGTCTCCTTCCATGGATATGCCATATGTACCCAAGTATGTGCCTGAGTCTGCATGAATTTTTACTTTACTAAAACTATTATTTAATGGGTTATTCTATTACTAAATTAAATTATCATACAGATGATTCCCTATCCATACATATGGGCCTTATAGGTACAACTACATAACATAAAGTCTGCATCACTACACTTTTGAGCACAAAATGGGATGATGTTAATTATGCCAGGTCAAGGGACCTGTACCAGGACTGTGCTAAACAGGAACCTAAAACCATCCTAGATCTAATCAGTCTTTTCAGCAGCTCTGTCATAATTCAGTGAATGAAAGTACTTAATTTATATAAGCAAGTATGCCATGTTAGATTCTTAGAATGCTTTCAGACTTTTGCCATTACAGTGACATAAATCCCAGAGCCTGACATACATTAAATCATTTAACATTTAAGCTCAACCCCCAGTCTACCAGATATTCAGTACTATGTGTGTCTGTGGAGGTACTATTGTCATTCCCATGTGTCAGGTAAAGATTCTGAATAGTTCCACATAGGAGGAACATTATTTGGGGACTAGTCCACTTGGATGAGTCAAAAGACAAAGTTTGACTCAGTGGTTCTATAAATATAGGATGACCAATAGCTTCCTTTGCTTGGGACAATCTTATATGTGCTGTCCCATATAATTTTTAATAGCTCTACTTTTTACTTTTGAAAGTGTCTCAATAGATGACATTTATATAATTTACAGCCAGAAGGGAAAGACTTTAGAGGTAATAGAGAGACATGACAATTCAAATACATTTATCTGTTCCTCTATCCCTTCCAGAGAGCAAGGGACGTGCAGGTGACTGTGAAACAGACAGGGAAAAAGTCCTTGTCACTCTTGGTGAACCCCTATAGCCCCATCTGGAAGATGAAGGCAGAGATCAAGAGAACAAGTGACCTCCAAGAGGGGCATCCACATCTCCTCTTCCAGGAACCAGAAGAGGAGAGGCAACTGCGTCTCTCCTTCCAAGAACCAGGAGGGGAGAGGCAACTGCTCAGTAGCCAGAAGACCCTGGCATATTATGGGATATTCTCTAAGGTGAACATCCGAGCGCTGGAAACCCTCCCTCCTGAGATCCAGGTCTTTGTGAAAGATTCTAGTGGCCAGAGCAAGCCTTATGCCATCCATCCCGATGACACCATCCTTGACTTGAAAAATATAATTGAAGGTGCTGGAGGACCTTATGTGGAAGACCAGAAATTGATGTTCCAGGGCCGCCAACTGAAAAATCATTGCATCCTTTCAGACCTGCAGATTGAGGATTGTGACACCATCGTGCTCATTAGGAGAAGCTGAAAGTTCCCAGGAGTACCCGTGGCAGGCTCATGATGTAGATTTTCATGTCTTCTCCCCTATCCTATCCCACTCTTTTCAACTCAGACCCTGTGCTCTTTCTGAAGCCTACATACTAACCTACCCCTCTCTTGCTTAAAATACTCCATTGCCTCCCCATTACCTACAGAATGAAGTTCAAGTTTCCTTGCTTGGCATTCAGGGTCCTTGACAATTGAGGTGAGACCCTGCTTACTTCTCTATCTCCCCTCATTGCTCAAAACACACCACATGTTCCCAAATACTTGTAATTCTAGAATACTGAATGAATGTTGGGTCATAACTCCATCACTTTGAGTCAACTAATTCCCCGTATTTTCATCTTTCAACAGTCAAACTTCTAAGTCACTTGATCTCTAAGTATTGACTTCAGACCAACAGAATCAGCATAACTCAGGATCTTCTTAGAAGGGAAAATTCTCAACAACTCTCCTAGATTTAAACTTAATCAGAGTCTCAGTGGTGAGACTCAGCAGTCAGTGTTTTAACAATCCTCCAAGTTCTGATGCATGCTCCAATGTCTCCCCATGATCCCCAGAATGAAGTTCTGATGCATGATCAAGCTCAAGAACCACTGCTATATACCAAGTCTTCCTTTGCCCTCACCTTTTCCCTTCACCCAAATCAGACTTCTGTGAGACACCTAAAAAATTAGCTAGCATTTGTTGCCCTTAACGCAGAGAAACTAAAGCAGATACCTTAAAAGCAACTGAGGCCAATAGGAAAAGGGGACCAGGAACTAGAGAAAAGGTTAGATCAAAAAGAATTAACCTAGAAGGTAACACACACGCACAGGAAATCAATGTGAGTCAATGCCCTGTATAGCTATCCTTATCTCAACCAGCAAAAACCCTTGTTCCTTCCTGTTATTGCTTATACTATCTCTTCAACAAAATTAGAAATAAGGGAAAAATAGTTTCTGCTGGGTATTGAGGGGGTGGGGGGAGAGGGAGGGGGTGGAGTGGGTGGTAAGGGAGGGGGTGGGGGCAGGGGGCAGAAATGACCCAAGCCTTGTATGCACATATGAATAATAAAAGAAAAAAAAAGCTGAAAAAAAAAAAAAAAGAAGTACTTGGGACCTTCATTGTGTTCCTTTGTTGGATCATCTATCCCCCTGGTCTAATGAGACTTAAAAAACTATGACTTATTCCTTGTTCCCCATGATCTAGAATGGTACCTGCTCATTGCAAATGCTTGCTGAATGAAGCAAGAATGACTTTGAATCCTTCACTACTGTCTATGTGCAGATCTCAGTATGATACTATTTTGGAGTCCACTTTGTTTCAGGTGCCCCTCAGTCCATGACTTTATGAAAATGCCCCACAATCACCTAGATGAGCCCCATGTTGGAGCAGTAGACCTGGTCTCAGTGCTTGAACCTGGTGATGTCTTCCCCCTCTGTCTAAACCTAATTGGACCAAAAGTGATCAGGATAGACTCCATCCATTGGATATCCTTAGCCAACCAGATTTTAAATCACGGAGAATGGGGCCAGGTGCAGTGAGCTCCTGGTAGAGTTAAATGAGGGTAGACAACTGAATAGAAGTGCACTCAAAACTGGAAAGGGTTGAACAGCCAAAGCAAAAGACCCACTTGAGTTCTCTCCATAAAGAGAGAACTATTAACCCAGGGAATGTAGCCACACACAAGAGACAGAGTCAAAAACCCTCACGCATTTCTAGGGAGAGAAGCTGCAAGATGTTGTCAGTCCTGCCCTTTTTCCTATCAAATCCCCCCTGTGTCTTCTCATTGCCCTCAATTGAGCAAGCAGCCACTCATTGAGTAAAGCAGAATGGGTGTCTTTTCCACCCCAAGACATTTGACTGAGCTCTGCTTCAGCAGCCAATGAAATTCTTTTTTCTATTCCTCATTCAATAATCTTATGCATTCATACACATTTATACCAAGTCTCCATAGATACAATGTCATTCAATTCTTATCCTCTTGGCTATCCTGGAAGTTGGACAGACAAATTGAAATTAAAATCCTTCCCCATTTTACAGATGAGAAAATCAAGGCTTAGAGAATAGGAAATAATGTTCAGAGAGAAACTTCTGTGGAAGAGAAGCCATGACAACCTCAACCTGGAGCTGTCATACATCTAAAAGGAAAGCCTTTCTCTCCCACTTTCTCTGGGCTTCTCTCATAGACACATGCCTTGAACTCTAGCCTTATCATCCTGACAGCCTTCTCCAATCCCTTCAGAAATCTTGTTCACCCTAAATGAACTCTCCGTCTGGCTACAGCTGATTAGACCAAGGATGATCACCTGATGCAGAATAAACTCAACCCATTGGCTAGGCTCAGCCAATCAGATTATGAGTTCTAGAGACTGGAAACAATTATTTCTTGAGCCTTTGGTATGTGCTAGAAATAGCACAGAGAATTTGGCATTGATTTTACTCTTACAAACACTTAGACTGGGTCCTGTGGAATGGCTCAAGTGGTAGAGTATCTGCCTAGGTTGATGGCCAGTATCCCCATTTTACAATGGCGGAAACAGCACAAGGGCTTAAGGGTTTTGATTGAGGCCGCATAACCTTAACTCTCAAAGCTGAGATTCAAGCTTCTTATGTTCAGAGACTCTGCTCTTAACCCCATGTAATTCTACGTCTCTTAATGGACCTCCACTCTCCCTTCCCAACTCCTACACTTCACACTTCAATTGCCACCTCTATATGAACAATCTGCTGTGCCCCAAATATATCAGACTCTTCCTCTCTTCTAAGTCCTTGTGTATGTTATTCCTTCAGCCCTGGATTAGCCACTTCTTAACAGTAGGTCCTTAGAAAAGTTACTCTCATTGACCATAACTTCCTCCTGCATAGAATGGAACAGTCCATCTAACAAAACCATTGTGAGAATCAGAGAAAGGCAAGAATGAAGGTGTCTCTCAGCTTCTCAGTTTCCATGCAATTCACAGCAACTTGAAATCCATGATGAAAAGCATCTCAAGAGATCCCACAAATAGGAGAACCTCACAAGACGGGAGTTTAATAAGGATTTATTTTATTAAAACAGAATAAAGTAGGGAGAAATTGGAAAGAGAAAGAAAAATATCTTCTGCTTTACATGTGGGAGATGGAAGTGAAGAAGACCCAAAATAATGGTTCTTGTCTGGGATATTTATCTGGGGGATTTTATATTGGATACCCATCTAGAATCCAGTCCTATAACCTAAAAAACCCTAACTGTTTTGCTAAGTTTACAAGAATAGACAATGCGTTTGGGGTAGGTATATTATCCAAAGCATGGCTAAGATGGGTTTTGCTGTTATTCAAAAACATGGAGTCAGGTGATGTAAACCTAACAAAACCAAGGGTCAATAGGTGTAACTTTAAGGCCTCCATTTACCAGAAATGCCTTTTAATTTTCTGTCTACCTATTTAAACAGTTTCCATCTTCTTAACATCTAAAAAGAGAAGGCAGATTTGCCCTTTATCGTGTATCTCTCTATTCAGGGAGACTGTAACTTCACATCTAACAAGAGGGATGAGAGGAAAGTTTGCTGCTCTGATTTTTCAGCTCACTTTTAGTTCCTGATTCTGTTTAAATTCCTTCCCTTTTAATATTTTTTCATTATTTTTAGTTCCCTTGTCTCCTCATCTGTCTATCCTGCCACAAGATGATGAATGTGAAAATACTTTACAAACTGTAAAGTCCTGACAACATGAGCTAATGTCAAAAAACCTGGGAGCTGAGACAAGAAAGGAACTTCCAGATGCCATGTTTTGCTCTAAAACCTAGCATGAGAAATAGGCCTTATAAAAAGATAAAGAGAGCAGAAATTTGATGTTAGGTAGCAGTTAGCCATAAGTGATGGATGAGGCAGGATAGATAGATGAGGAGACAGGGAAATTTTATTATTTTAATAAATATTGGGAGGGCCAGACTCAGATATTAAAAATAAAAAATAAAAAGCCAGAGCAACTAGAACTCCCTTTCAAGAACAAGACCATCTGCATTCCAATGCTATCTACGTCCTCCTTTCTTTGACATGTTAACAAACTCCAAGGCTCCATAGATGGGTGGAGGTCCAAAAAGAATAAAAAACTCATCTAGCAAATGGAAGGGCTAAAGCACACCTTTTGTGCCTGTGATTTGAGTAGGTCTAGACAACACCTCCATGTTTTAGCACCCACCTTCGCCACCCAGATCCATTATCTTTGACCAGGTATAGTCCCCCAGCTCTCTAAAAGTATAAGACTAAGACACAGGGACCACCATTTTGGGTCTCCATTCCCATTTCTTGCATGGGGAGCAGGAAATGTCTCTCCTTCTTTTCTCAATTCTCCTCACTTTTATCCTATTATACTAAATTCCTTTCCTAATAATGTAGTTTTACTACATTTTCAAGTCTTGCTTGAATTCATCTCTTGCTGGACACAAGAACCAAGATATTTTCCAGGACTAAACTTTCTGATAACAATCAGGGTTACAAAAGAAGCAAACTGAGGAAGGTAGACCTGCAAGAGGATTGGGTACTCAGAACCAAGGAGAGAGGAAATAATTTGACATGGCCAAGACTGACAGAAAGGGTTTCAGGGAGAGGAGGAAAGGGTACAGACACACTTTAGAAGAGTGTTGTGTTCATCCAGAGGCGATGATGAATTTGGGTTGGAGATGAATGGGGTGAAAAGAAGTAGTTGGATTCAAGACCCTAAAGGCTTGCTGAGGGATAGACACTGGGATGTGGGGGAAGGAGGGACCTCAAAACTGTGTCCAAGTTAACTTAGGGGGACAGATCTGCAGAGGACTTAAGGAGCCTGCTAGGACACTAGAAATTATCTAAGCCTTGTTACCAGAGTTTTGGTTGGGGTCCCCAGTCCTTGCATGCCTGTGATTTCAAGCAAGATGTGAAATGTAGTGAAAGTAATATCAAAGTTTATTACAAATAGTAAAGATACATTTTTAAAGAAGAGAGCAGGTTGTCTCAGAAAAGAAATCAACAGTATACTTCTTTGTGTACCAGCTTTATTTGGGGTATAAGGGGAAGTTTGTAGAGAGCCCTTTATAAACTTATCAAAATTTATTGGGGGTTTTATCAATTATCTCTATCACAGTCCTTCTGTGCCATGATTTTACTTTCATGGTGTCGCGAGTGCCTATTGTTTCAATTGAGTACAGAGAGACACTACTCAGGAGACTCTTATTTCAGAGAACAGAGTTTTTATTCAAACAAATTCACACGGCACTTTCCTATGGATCCTAGTGCCTGTCTCTGCTACCCTAGCCAGCCAGGAGTTACTCAGACCTTCCCCCAAGTCTTACTCACCATGTGA